AAAATGAGAAGTTACCTGCCAAGGGGTATGGCCAGGGTGCATTCCCTTCTCCACTCTCCTCCCAGGATTTTGGGTATGCATGTACATGCTGCTGGCATGACTCAAATCACAGGATCTGAAACTTGAACCACGAAGCCGGCCATGTGGGATCTAGTATTGTAATCTCCACGCCACCTACTGGCCCTATTGATACTCTTCTAATTATCTCCTGTACTTGCTGTTGCTTCTTACGTGGAACATGTTGCTTTCAGCTGCCCATCACAAAAAAAAACTTAAAAATTGCTGCTCTTGGGTATAACACTCATTAGGCAACTCACCAAGTAATTTCTGTCACCATTGCTAAATGAAGATGAAAAGAGTCATTGGTTTAAAATGTGAAATGGTTCAGAAACCATTTGGAGTTCTAGACCAACATCTTCAGTTTCTGTATACTAATTAAACTGATTCTGAAAAGAGGGACATAACTTTTCAAATGGCAGACAATTCAGGGACCAGCAGTTATCATAATGGTTACGTAGCTGGACTCCCATATAGTCGACCACAGTTTGAGTTCCAGACCCAATGGCTTAAACTCATACCAGGTGCGTGTACATGCATGCCCAAGATCCCGCTAGGAGAATGGAGGAGAAGGGATTGCGGCATGGCCATCCCCCCTGGGGGGTGATTTCTCGCCTTCTGTCTCTCTGTCTCTCTCTGTCATTCTGGCGAGCACATGTGCCCTATAGCAAAAACAGGCAGACAATTGATGTCAGACCTGTGGTTGGCACTCAGGTTTCTGGCCTCCCAGTCCAATGTTCTTCCTATGGCATTATTTCCCCCTTTCAAATGTTGGAACTCTGAGATAAAAGAGGGAGAGCATGGACTTCGCAATTAGACAGTTTCAGAATTTGACTTAACACTTAAGTCACTTATCTTCTCTGAGCAAGAAATTCCTTAAAATAAAATTAAGGACAAAAGGAGAATGACAGCTGACCCAGAAGGCTGGAAATAATACAGCTAAAGCACTTAGCATATTTCCTGGCACATATAGGTGCCAGGAACAGTAGGGATAACAGCTATGATTATTATCATTATATTGATTATTTAAAAAAATTAAGGATGTATTTTAAACCAACTGAGTTATCTCTGTGAACAGCATGGATTCACCACCCTTTATTTATATATGTTTTGATGTTATTTCTGTTTGAAGCAGAAAGTATTTCATAAGTTTAAGCACATATGAAGTAAAACAGAATGTCTTAATATTTGTCTGAATACTCACTTTTTTAATTTTCAAAGAATACTTTTAATTTTAATATGTCAAGATCTAAAGGAAAGGTCTAAAAGATGATCCTCCTTTTTATGACTTTTAAGATAATGTAGATTTTGGGGCCAGCAGGTGGCATGGTGGATAAGGGTGCTGGATTCCCACATGGCTGACCACGGTTCAAGTCCCAGACCTGGTGACTTGCTTTCTTGCTTTCCCTTTCTCTCTCTCTCTGGTGGTCAAATAAAAACACTAATAATAACAACTGGAATTAATTAAATAAATAATTCTTTTTAAAAAAAGATAATGCAGATTTTAGTAATTTCTCTTTTTAATGCTTTGAGGTTAAGAAACAGAATTATCTACCCATGAAGACAGAACAGTAGGAACAAAAGGACAAGCTGCTCAGGAAACAGACTTTATAGTGGTCTAGGGCTGCATAGGTTGTACACTGATGACTTTGGGAAGTGCCATTCTCACTCCTAGGCACTCCAGGACAATGGGCCCTATTTTATGGTAATGTAATTTTTGGCTTTAGTCAGTGGCATGATTAAACTGATTTTACCACAAAAATCAAGAACAATTAAAATGTTTAACTGTTGAGGGCCAGTAGATGGCATGCTGGTTAAGGGTGCTTGGACTTGTACATGGCTGACTACAGTTCAAATCCTAGACCTGGTGGCTTGCTTTCTCCCTTTCTCCCTCTCTCTCTTCGTCTGTCTCTTTCTGGTCAAATTAAAATAAATAAATAAAGTTAAACAAAATAATTTTTTAAAAAAATGTTTAATCGATCAAAAGTTCTAGATGCCAGAGAAACCATAAATTGTCAGCTATCTCTTAAGTTTCTTAAACTTTTCAATAGGTTTTCCCATGGTCATGTCATTGTGTAGGAAAATTATTCAATTTAATTTGATCTATTCTTTAATTGCTAGAAGGTGTGTACACTTACTGCAGACAGAACAGGAGACCGAGGGAGAAAGAAGCTCTCAATGGGTCATGGTCAAACTACAATCCCTTCTCCTTCATTTTTTCATCCTGTTATGATTTGGGGCATGCATCCCCATGCACCCAATGTGTTTTTCCAGCTGCCAGCCTGGGATTCCACCCTGCAGTCATCTATGTGCATTCAGGCTCTGTTAACCACAGATTAAGGGGCCAGCACAAGAAAGATTATTATTTAGTAAAGCTCATGAGTTCTTTTTTTAATGTTGGTGAAGGATGAGTATCTGTTCACAGACTAATTATTTTATATAGAAATAGTATTATATGTGGCATTTATAAAAATAAGTGAATTTCATCTGGGTAAAAAGCATATATTCTTAAATCATGAAACCTTCATATTGTGTGACCAGAAACTGTAGTCCCTATAGTCTTACCTGGGTTGGTTAAAACCACCAGTGTTAACTCTTTTGTAATGCGTGAGTGAGGGAGCATGTGTGTAGGTAGGTTCCATTTACTCACTTACACACACAGTACTCAGTACTCAAATTGTAACAGCAAAAGTTTGTCATGATATCTGAATAAGATTGGTCTCTTCAATCTTTTATCTTAGGCTTAGGTTACTAACAGTATTTATAGGGTCATTATTTTCAACTGTTTCTTGACACCTAATATTATTTTAAGCTCCAGCCAAGTGGATTTCCAATAATTATATAATGTCTCTCAGTAATGATCTGTTGCTTAAGATACACATTCTACTTTACCTTTCAACACATACTTGATAACCTCTCATTTTCTAACTGTAATTGAAGCAAATTTAGTCTTGGCTAATTAGGGGCTCTTAGTACCCCCTCATACATGTTATTCTTGATGACATATCAATAGAATTAAGGTCTATTTTTATTTTTAATTAAAGTGATACAAATGTGCAACTTAAAAATATTAGAATGTTTAGGGACATTACAGCTATTTTACAAATAACAAGTCCAGTGTTCTGGTGGAGATATGCAAATGACAAAATCTTCACAACCCAAACGGAACGGTGGCTTGTCTCAAGGATTTTTTTGAGAAGCAAATCCAAGCCATGTCAGATGCTTAGGTATAGAAAGGAAAGTATACAAAACCAGGACAATTAAATTAGTGCATTATTTTAAGGTTGGGCTCCTTGGATTCACTTAAGTAGCTCTGTTTGTTATTTTTGCCACATGAAAACAATCTTCCAAAGAACTTCAGTGAATCTGAAGTAGGAATATCTTTTTATTTTATTTTATTTTTTTTTTTGGTGAAGTAGGAATATCTTTGGAGAGAAGAAAATTCTACCCTTGTTATGAGTTGAAGGCAAGAATGGTTAAGCTTTGGAATAAGTAAGTCACTAAGACCCCAAATTGAAGATATTTTGAAAATACACACCCGAACTCTTCAGCAAATCTATTAATGATAGTCTATTCCCAGAGGCTCAGACTTTTTTCACTATAAAATATGGACTTTAGTTGTACTAAGAAGAACCATAATGGGAATAACATCATCTCAACTTTCCTGTTCTGTTCAACATTTTTGAAAATCACCACATAAGCAGAAAAAGTAAAAGAGAACTTGGAAGTGAAACATATGCTTGTAAACTCAGAGCAATAGCAAATGGAAGCAGAAGTTGCTAATATGGTTTCAGTATTTTGTAAAAGAGCCAGCTGGATGGATCATAATTTTTCTACCCCTGCAGGGCATCAAAGCTTTTAGGAAATCATTCTTTTCACACATATTAACACTTAGCTTATTAAAACAGATGATACTTTTATTGTAAAATGGCCTGGGTAGAAGCTAGAAACATAAAGTACGAAAGAGAAGATTCATTCTGACCACTCGATCTGATGATCTGACAGTGAACACTGACACAACAGACCATGGCGGAGTTGATGACGTAGCGGGACCTCCTGTAACTGCCACAGTTGAAGTGTCACCATGAAGCCCGTGAATTGCTGTTATGAAAACATTTGCAGTAACTTGCATAATTAAATGAAACTGCCAGAAATGCATTTCTAAAATGCAGAGAAGATGTACATAAATAAATACACTTCAAAGTAAATATTACATTTCAGACTCAGCATTGTGGTGAATTATGCAAAGTTTTGTCACAAGCAAAGGACCATTTCCTTTGAACTGATTGTTAAGTAATTATGAGTGAATGACAACTTTGTTACTTAACTGGACTGCTCTCTTAGGCTCCTTTACAGATAATCAATGAAAATTGATGATCATGGTATCTAAAACCATAATACCCTTTTCTAGGAGGTGTCAGGCCTAAAAGAAGACCCTAGAACTGACAGAACTATAGTAGAGCTCTTAGCACACAGAAGTACTTTAAGAAAAAAAAAATTCTATAATGGTAAAGTGGCAGGTATTTGGCTCTATTGTAGTTTCTTTCTTTGTTAACTCAAGAATATTATAATGCCTTGAAATCAACATATTTGGTAGGCACCAAATATATTCCAAGATGATTCTGTTTCTGGGACGCTGTAAAGGCAAGTGAAAGACTGCAGTCTACAATGGTGAAATGAATATCATCTTGCTTGTTAAAACTACCCTCAGAAGGTTTTTGAGACTCTCACTCTAATGGTGACAGTTGTCATGTAGAAAAGGAAGCTAATTACGGCTTCTCTAGCAGTCATAGAAACATAAAAATTATCAACTATCTTATCTGCATAAAGGAAAAAAGGATCAAAAAAGTTGAGCCTGCTTTACAAACATACCATGGAAATACAACTGTTCCCTTTGCAGTGCATCTAAAGTGTGAGCATACCTGATGAGGGTAGCTACTTACATCAAACAACTTCTCTATATACATCTCCTCATTGACCTTTTCTCGAAGAATATCCTGATTTTGCCGAACGAACATAATATAGGTGTCTGCCAGATCCATTCCTGGTTTCTGTTGTGGAGAAAGGCATGGGGAATAAAACATCATTTGTGAAATAACTGTTTAATCGCAACTTTGAAAATAACTTTGGAAGTTACACTAGTAAAATATGTCCAAAACTGACTCAGCAATAAGAACCTTCAAGAAGTTCTATAATTAATGTAAATAAAAGTTGATTATTGATGTTCATAATGTGAGGCAGTTATTTACCATTACTAAAATGATCAGAAATACATGGTTGCAAGCCTATGGATATCTTTTTTTATTGACTGTCATGACAAATTAGTATGTCAACCAGTGTAAGCAAAGACTGTTTTGAAAAAAATTTCCCATATGCAATTCTAATTTTCTATTCACTTTTCTAATCACAAACACAATTTATTTGCTTTCATCTCTGGCTGATTTAGCAATCATGCTAAAAAAATGTTAGCTCTCCATTGGGTTGCCTCCCTCAGCTATTACAGGTACTCAAGGAATTCAAACTACATGTTCTTAAGAAACTGAGTAAAATATTATTAGGAAGATATTAGGCAAAAAACATTGAATGTACTACAAAGTGAAACATAAAGTATTTTGTGGATTATATATTGCTTCTACTCAATACTAATCAATACTGTCTCAAAAATTCATTCTATTTTAGAACTTCGACAAGCATACTAATGCTAGTCTCCCATGTAGAGCCAAAGACGTGGGTTATATGACTTTTAAATGTGATCTAATATTCGGTGTTTCATAATGTTAGAGGAGATGGAGTAGCTCATATAACTCCTTTTTGCTGTACAGAATTAATACTAGGAAAAAGCATGCACAGTTGCCAAAGAGATTTCCTTTTTGACTTATTGTTACTTTTATCTTGAGTCTCACATAGCTGAACTAGTCAATAAAAATACATATTTGCAATGTCTACACCTGGGGTTGATTCATAATCTACACTGAATTATTTAATTAAGGTATGACAAAAAGAATGAAATGGTAGAACTGGTACTCAAATACACCAGTTAACCTTGCATCATTTCATATCCATAGAATGCACGTCTAGCCTCCATCAGCAGACAGTTTACGAAAGTAAATACTGCAAGGACTTTAGGTAAAAGACATGGATCTTGTAATTATTACTACTGCTAGAAATACACCTTGAGGGGGGATGGCAGATGGCGTGGTAGTTAAGGGCGCTGGACTCCCATATGGCCAACTGTGGTTTGAGTCCCAGATGTGGCAGCTTGCTTTCTCTCTCTGTCCCTCTTTGGTCAAATTAAAATAAATAAATAAATAAAGTCAAATATAATAATTCTTTGAAAAAAAGAAAAGAAAAAAATCTCGAGGTATACATCTAAGCCATGCTGGGACAGTGGTAGTGTCTTCTCCCTATGTATGGGACAGAAAATTCTTGTCAATTTTTTTGCAGGGGTGAGGATGTAACATATTGTATGCCATAATAAAATTGTCCACATTTTAGCTAATATATAATATAAACAAAACATATCTTACTTATTTTATTCAAAAATATTAACTTTTTGTAACACATTTATTTCTGTACATCAACACCACTGCAATTTCATCCTGTTTTTATATTTAGCCTAAAGGGAAGTATATACCACATAAATTCAAGAATGCCTTCAACATAATTCTGATATAACAAAATTTGTTACAATTTGAAAGATCCATTCATATAAACGTCTCCATTGGTCTTTCCTTTGAGAACATTCGTACACCATGTAGGTAATATATTCTAAACCTAACAGAGACAACTTAACTAAATTCATTCCTTTGCTACTTTTCTGTATAATCCTCAAAATGTTTAAAAGTTTAAACAGCTACAAGAATAATCAATTAATATGTAGGTTGCTTTCCTTTTTATTTTTTTTTTAAAGAATTATTTCATTTTGCTTTATTTATTTGAAAGAGAGAGAAAGCCAGAAAGCAAACCATCAGGTTCGCCAGGTCCCAGACTGGAACCGGAGGTCAGACATATGGAGTCCAGCGTCCTTAGTCACCACGTCACCTGCCGGCCCGGTTGCTTTCCTTTTTTGGGAGGAGGGTTTACACATCAGATTTCCAGTGAAGAAGTAGGATACTTTGTACGAATATTACTTCTATTAGAACTTGAGGGTAACTAACTAATAAGACAAGTAATCCTCTTTGTGCCTCTCAAACTTTGTCAAAACACTGAAAATGAGAACATTCAAAATACATACAACCGAAAAATGAAAATGATACAAGAACAATTTTCTATACATCATAGCAAGTGGCTCAGTGTCTGTGTTTCAGTCAGGTGCCTGGAAACATGATATCTATAATACCAAGACAGTTGGGTGTAGTCCAAACTGGAAGCTGAGGAACAGACAAATGAGAAGTTTGCCTTTTCCACCATTTTGCTCCATTCAAACCCCATTTTTATTTGACCTTTTGGAGAAAAAAATGCTTAGAATTTTTTTTTTTTCTTTAGGGTTTTTGCTACAGGTTACATGTACTGGCTGGAGTGAGACAGAGACAGAGAAAGAAGGGAAGTGAGAATGCATCCCCGCCACCTAGGGGATGGCCACACCATAATCCCTTCTCTTCCACTCTCCCCTTGGGATTGGACATGGAGACACACATGCCCAGTGTGTTTTTCAAGCTGCTGGATATGGGACTTAAAGAGTCGGCTCTGTGGGATGTGGAACCTTACCCACCATGCCACCTGTTGGTCTGTATGCTTAGAAATTGGCTCTCATCAGTCACTGGACCTATAATATTCAATGAAAACTGATGTCCACAAAGATGGAAAATAGTGACTTTCTACACTCATCCTAGACACTAAATAATTTCTCTTCTGTTTCCTTGATTACTTCCAAGATAACATTAGACATCATGAAACATCGTCCAGGAAGAGTTTATCTTCTACCATCTAAAATGAACAAATACTTTACAGTTTTAGTCTAAAAGAAAATGAAACACTGCTCTGTATTGGCAGACTCAAGCGGGATAATAATGAAATCCAGAAGTTGAAACAGTTCCACAACTTTCTAAGAAAAAATGAATCTCTGGTTGATGGGATGGGGTAGAGTTCATTAAAACGTTTGTTTGAATAAATCACTTATTTCTTTCCTTTTGAAATTGAATATTCTCTTTTTGGCAAATGAAGATCTACTTGCCTGGGAAACAAAACCTAGAATTCTTAACATTCCTCATTAGCATTATTTCTTCCTTTATCTTTGAGCTGTTTACCTATTCTTGAAACTGTGACATATGGGAATTTCACACCTAGTGAATATATTTTCATGTAGCTAGTGGCATGAGACTATAATCATTAAAAGAATATACACAAGTAAGAGTCACTGCAACAGCTGGTGACATTTACCAATTAGAACTATAGTTCTTTAAAACACTTTATCCTTCATTTGGTGTATGAAGGGTAATTATCTCTGATAAAGTGCTGAAAAAGATGTAATTTTCCTTTTAAACAGTTTCTACATACAGTACAAATGTGTTTGGATAGAGGACATTATCGCTGGTTCAGTGCTCCTTTGTGATAAGACTGTTCAACGGCAGTAACATTTACGCACTTTCAAAGTGACTGCTTTCTACTCCATTACTAATGTTATCTTATTAGGAAATGAATTTAGTTAAAAAGAAAAAAAAAGTTAAGTGCACGATAAGATTTGTGTGTGTGTGTGTGTGTGTGTGTGTGCATGTGTGTGTTTTGGCATTTAAACAAAAAGAATGCATGTAATTGCATGGCAGAGACAGAACATAGCTATGAATTCCGATACAAGTTGGTGCCTCCCAACTCTATCAAAGAAGCAGTCAGCTTCAACAATTGTGGGTTTGTATGAGTTTTTCTCAAGTATATTTTATCCTAGAACTACATTAGAGATCTTTTCTAGGTGATTATATTACAATTTCCTTAATGAATTTGAGCAAATAACAATTAAAAACCACAGCAAACACTCTGTATATTAAATACCACTTAGAAAGAGTACATGATTCTTTTCATGCTCCTATTTGGACCACAGAGATCCTCAGTTCACTAATTTTTCCGCCTTGTTTATTAAGGTAGTAATTGCTAATTCAAAATAAGAGTTTCTAAATTACTTTTGATCTGATTCAGAAAACAACAGAATTTGGCTAGCAGTTTTCTTACAGTAACACAAAAAAATTGTCCCTTGAGCACAAAATATCAATAATTATGGAAAGAAATGAAGCATGTTTAAAGCGAGTTCCTCCAACTGGCTGTATAAGTAACCGAATACATCACTGAGTGAATGAGTTTAAGTAAGGGTGCAGACTCCAGCGAATTTTTTTCAAGCGTTAATCACTAGTTAACCTAGCAAGATGAACACGCTGCTTAAAAAGAGAGGGGAAAAAAATTCCTTGTTAATTATACACTGCAACCGGTCTTACTTCCTGCTGCTACACCTAATCCCACAGGTGCAAGTCTTCGCTTTCCCTATTCCTGGCTAGGTGGGTTCAACACGACAGTCATTTTCCACAGCAAAAGGTTTAGATACAGAAGAAGCTGCTTAACCTTCCACTGCAGGTTAACAATTCACTACACAAACACTGTCATGGTGCCTGTTTAACAAGGAGGCAGATTTTTAAATATACTATTCCAGTCTCAAAGATTAATGAGAAGCTACAGTGTAATTGACTTAATTTAAAAGTGCACGTCTCATAACCTAGAAAAGCTTGTCTTGGAGAGACAATCAAGAGTGGAACTGTGATATTCTGATTTATGATGATCTGCGTGCTCTGTAAATGAAATACCCACATCTGGTCACACGTTACGATTTGTAAAAAAATAAAAAAATAAAAATAGATCTGGTGATGTATGACTACAGCGTGACTTCTAAATTTGAAATTGTCATATCAGTTCTGGCATTTAAGACTCAGTAAGTTCATAACTGATCACCAGGGAACACAGGACATAGATAGGAACATAATTTATTGCTATTTCAGGTATTGTTAAAAATGATTCCTTTCTTTCACTGTTTAACATATTCCTTATTAGCTTGGCATGTACGCATCAGTTT